TTGGTCATCATTGACATACACCATCATCTCCCCCACTGACCTTGTCGTCGTTGACATCCACCATCATCTCCCCCACTGACCTAATCATCGTTGACATGCACCATCATCTCCCCCACAGATTTGGTCATCGATGACACACACCATCATCTCCCTCTATGACCTGGTCATCGTCGACATACATCATCATCTCCCCCACTCATTTGGTCATCGTTGACATACACCATCATCTCCCCCACTGATTTGGTCATCATTGGCATGCACCATCATCTCCCCCACTTACCTGGTGATCGTTGACATACACAATCATCTCCCCCAAAGACCTGGTCATCCTTCACATACACCATCATCTCCCCCACAGATTTGGTCATCGATGACACACACCATCATCTCCCCCTCTGACCTGGTCATCGTCGACATACATCATCATCTCCCCCACTCATTTGGTCATCGTTGACATACACCATCATCTCCCCCACTGATTTGGTCATCATTGGCATGCACCATCATCTCCCCCACTGACCTGGTGATCGTTGACATACACAATCATCTCCCCCAAAGACCTGGTCATCGTTGACATACACCATCATCTCCCCCACTGATTTGGTCATTGTTGACATTACACCATCATCTCCCTCACTGACCTGGTCATAGTTGACATACACAATGATCCCCCCCCCTTTGACCTGGTCATCGTTGACTTACACATATTTGTGTGTTCCAGAAACCTGCCGTGTATCCTTCTCCGCGAAGTTTGCTACCCGTAATGGCTACTCTATTGTTGGTGGAGAACCCGCCATTTTTGACAGCGTGCTCAGCAACAAAGGCGAGGCCTATGACGTCAACAGCGGGGAATTCACCGCACCTTGCAATGGACAGGTAGATGTGAATTCAATCACTTATTTCAGTCATTTTATCAAATGGAGACATGACTTCAAACACTTATATAAGGCCTTTTATTAAATGTAGACATGACTCCAGTCACTTATCTCAGACATTTGACCAAACTGGTATTAGTGAAATTGTGGAAGGGACCTGGATGAAGAGCTACTTAGCAATAATAACAAATCAACTTTAAATGGTATTTTATAACATCTATTTGTGCTGATACCTCTGTGGTAAAAGGTATTTTATCCCATTCATTTTTGCTGATACCTCTGTGCAAAATGCATTTTATCCCATTCATTGTGCTGATACCTCTGTGCTAAAAGGTATTTTATCCCATTCATTAGTGCGGATACATCCGTAGTAAAAGGTATTTTATCCCATTCATTGTGCTGATACCTCTGTGGTAAAAGGTATTTTATCCCATTCATGTGCTGACACCTCTGTGGTAAAATTAATTATAGTTTATTACCTTTAAAAAATAAATATATTTTGAAATTTATGGTCTAAAAGCGCTACTTTTCTACATTTTATAGTCTAAAAGCCATAAATTTCTACATGATATGGTCTAAAAGCGCTACTTTTCTATATCTTATGGTCTAAAAGCGCTACTTTTCTACACTTTTTTTCCTTCGTGAAAGATCTTAACGGCTTGGTTGTCAATTTCTTGTAAAAGGGCAAACATAAACAAATTGCTTTAGTTTTCAAACATGATGATAATGTTGACAGAAAACATCGTCTAAGTTTCATATTATACAGTAATAAAAAAAAATGTATGTTTTGATAATGCGAATTAATTCCAAATACAGGCTTTGTAGCCCTAATAAGTTAGTTAAATAACATATTTCCCGAGGATAGACTGCATTGTCCCCCATGTAAACTCGACTTTCACTGAGGGGACAGAACAGAAATAATTATGTCCCCTTTTCATAGAAGCTCATCGCAGGAAGAATAGTGTCCCCCTTCCTCATCATCTCATCGTAGGAATTTTTGTCCCCTTCTCATCTACTCATCATAAGAAGAATTGCGTCCCCTTCTTATAGTTAAGTTGTTATTTTCCAGTATTTCTTCCAAGTAACCCTACGGTCCCACCAGGAACAGGACAGTGGCTATGTTGATGGAGTCATTCAAGTCGACGGAGAAGAGAGGGTAACTCTTGTTATTTATTATTATTTTTTTTTAAAAATGTGTTGCCTTTTGTTTCAAAAAGTGTTTAAATTCCCTTTCTTTTTTTAATTTATTCATTTCTTAAGTATAATGCTTTCACTATTGCTCAATTTTGTTGAAAAAAAGATATGTGAAAGAAAGAAATGGTCTTCTTAATGGCGCAATTATACATTACGTTGTAGAGAACGCTGATTGAACTTGACGCACTTGTAGAGAAATCACATCTATGCGTGGATTAGAAGCGGAGGCAGTTTATATTATCGAACATTCAGTCATTTTGAAGAACTGTTTGATTGACTTTTAGAAGTCAATGACGTGAACAATTAATAAAATGTACAATCAATATTTCTCGTATCACTATCAGGCTCGAACTTCGGTCTTCACCGACGCATCCAATGACAACTACCAGAGTGCAACTAATGGAGTTGTTCTTGCGCTCGAGAAAGGTCAAAAGGTTAACGTTCAGGTCAAGTCGACCAGTAGTGGAGAGTTCGTCGGAGACGCCTATTCCATCTTCTCTGGATTTTATTTATACCCCTAAGGGTCAATTATATCTCCAAGTGTCATTAATATTTCTAAGTGTTCTTTCCCCATTTATTTCTGATTTTGTGACTTGTGGAAACAAATTATTAAAAGCAGACTTTTAAACTATAATTATCTAAGTCTCTAAGCAATTGCCAAAAATACAAACAAAAGAATAAATAATGACATGAAAGAACTGCTTGATTGTGCTATTTAAAAGTATGAATCAACTGTAACGACAATTTTATAAAAAGGATATGAAAGTATTGAATAATTATGTAATTTAAAGCATGAAATAACTACAATAAAAATAATTCACTTTTTGAAGAAAAAAAAAAGATGTATGTTATTTTTATTCCAGCAGTTTGTTAGTATGTCATGTTCTATTGACAGTTTGTGAGTATGTCATGTTCTATTGACAGGTTGTGAGTATGTCATGTTCTTTTGACAGTTTGTGAGTATGTCATGTTCTTTTGACAGTTTGTGAGTATGTCATGTTCTATTGACAGTTTGTGAGTATGTCATGTTCTATTGACAGGTTGTGAGTATGTCATGTTCTATTGACAGTTTGTGAGTATGTCATGTTCTATTGACAGTTTGTGAGTATGTCATGTTCTATTGACAGTTTGTGAGTATTTCATGTTCTATTGACAGTTTGTGAGTATGTCATGTTCTATTGACAGGTTGTGAGTATGTCATTTTCTATTGACAGTTTGTGAGTATGTCATGTTCTATTGACAGTTTGTGAGTATGTCATGTTCTATTGACAGTTTGTGAGTATGTCATGTTCTATTGACAGGTTGTGAGTATGTCATGTTCTTTTGACAGTTTGTGAGTATGTCATGTTCTATTGACAGTTTGTGAGTATGTCATGTTCTATAGACAGTTTGTTAGTTTGTCATGTTCTATTGAAAGTTTGTTAGTATGTCATGTTCTATAGACAGTTTGTTAGTATCTCATGTTCTATAGACAGTTTGTAAGTGTGTCATGTTCTATAGCCAGTTTGTTAGTATGTCATTTTCTATAGACAATTTGTTAGTAGGTCATATACTATAGACATTTTGTTAGTATGTCAAGTTCTATAGGCAGTTGGTTAGTATGCCATTTTCAAAAGACAGTAAGTTTAAAGTATTTTTGGTTTCAGTTGGTTGATATTTTGTTTTCCTGTTTTTCTTTCATCCTCAACTCATTTCCTAGCAGCAAATTTTGTCTTTCCGCCTCAACTCATGTCCTAGAAGCGCATTTTGTCTTACGTGTTCAATTCATGGCCTAGGAGCGCATTTTGTCTTACGTGCTCAACTCATGTCCTAGTAGCACACTTTGTCTTACGTTCTCAACTCATTTCCTAGGAGCGCATTTTGTCTTGGGTCATCACTCATGACCCTGGAGCGCATTTTGTCTTGCGTCATCAACTCATATCCTAGGAGCGCATTTCGTCATACGTCCTCAACTCATGTCCCAAGAACACATTTTGTGTTACTGTCACAATCAAATTTCACAAGTAATTTGAAAAAAATCGTGAGTTTTTAAATGTTTGATTGATGCAATTTGAGACATTAGTTTGATGTTTCACTTCTAATCTATAGCATAGACGACTACAGTTTGCATAGCCCTCGGACTTGTAGAAAGCTACATTTATTATTGCATTCTTTAGTGCAAAGGCCTACATTTTCTATTGCAGTCTAATTAATTTACTGTACTTGCATGAAAAGAATTAATAATAAAAATACTTTTCCTCCCCCCTCCTCCCCGTATATTGTATAAATATTTTGTGAAATGGTTCACCCCCTAAATCTGTATACCTTTAATTTTGTAATGTCTTCGTTTGAAGAGAAACTTTAATTAATAAATGTATGTATTATGTGAACGGGAGATTTGTTGTATAAGTTACACGAAATGTTATATGACATCTTTGCAGCAATAACACTGTTTATATTCCCTCTTCTTCTATATATTAAAGGCCCACGATCAATTTATTGATCATTCTGGCTCCTATGCATATAGATAGGATTTGAAATATTTCTGTGCCTGGTGTTGATGAGGATATTTCACTGGTTGCAAGGGCTACTGTTCGGTGGCTGGAAGGCTTGAGGCAATAGAGTCAAATGTGTCAAGTGTTGTCGCCTCAACTGTTCATGTTGGAATCTTGTACTGGGTTCTTGCTGGTATGAGCCGGAACTGCATGTCATGGCCCCGTTCTATAAGTTACAAAAATGCTCTATGACATCCTTGCTGCCGTAACACTGTTTAGATTTGTTCTATACGCTACAGTAAATGCTCTATGACATCCTTGCTGCCGTAACATTGTTTAGACTTTATGACATTTAACTTCGTCTGTTTCTTAAAGATAGAACTTTCTTATAGAACTATAACTGAACAATAGAACAAATAACAACAAAAAGGGCATTATTATTTTTTTAATTAGTATTGTATGATTCATTTGTGTATATTTTGTGTATATTTTGTGTATATTTTGTGCATTTTGTGTGTATATTTTGTGTATTTTTAAAAGTTATCTGGCCAATGTTATATGGTCTTAATTAATATTAAAATGTAATCTTTACATTACGATACATTGGCAAGTCTCTCCGAGACTGGAATTGGCCTATTTACTTTGGGTAAAATTTTTAATTTCTAAATTTTGCGAAGATAGCCGAGGAAATATAAGTACTAGGACTTGAAAAAGTTAAATGGCATTGTGTGAAGGTAGCGTCGTCCTAGGGCAGATCTAGGGCATTGAGTGAATATTGTGTTGGCCTAGGGCAGATCTATGGCATTGTGTGAAGATTGTGTCGACCTAGGGCAGATCTAGGGCATTGCGTGAAGATTGTGTCGTTCTAGGGCAGATCTATGGCATTGAGTGAAGATTGTGTCGTCCTAGGGCAGATCTAGGGCACTGCGTGAAGATTGTGTCGTCCTAGGGCAGATCCAGAGTCACAGTATAATATTGCTTGACACGATTAATTGATGGGAGCTCTTGCAATGATTCTTGCCGCTCGTGTTTGAACATGGTCCTTATTTCGTGAGTGCCTTTACCTTCCAGTCTCTCTCGGAATCTGTGGGTTAAAGATCATTGAAAATATGTTATTAGAACAGAAATAAGTTGCGTTTAAAAAAATGCGACATCTGAGATTGTACTACTTAACATAATTTAAACGTATTAATAATAATAATAATAATAAGTGGTCTTATATAGCGCGGTACCCCGGCCTAGGGCTGGGCTCACCGCGCTGTACATATATAGCAAAGAGGCATAATCATAATATTAAAATAAAAAACAAAAATGAAATAAAAACAACATATAAGCAAAACAACACCATAGGTCTACACCAGACATTTTTACAAGGAAACCCATGTACGTTTATCGGTTTATAGGAGGAGAATCAGTCAGAGTAGTATAGTTTAAATAGATGTGTTTTGAGTGCAGTTTTGAAGGCCTGTGTGGTTGTTATATTGCGGATGTGTAGTGGCAAAGAATTCCATTGTTTGGGGGCGCAGAAAGAGAAAGATCGTTCACCATATAATTTAGTGCGTGTCTTGGGAACGGACAGAATACGCGAGTCTGCGGAGGAGCGAAGTTGTCGAAGGGGTGAATAGACAGAAAGAAGTTCAGTTAGATAGGAAGGGCAGGAATCCGAGAAAAAGTTGTGACAGAGAAGAGACAGCTTGTAGTCAATGCGTGCCTGTATAGGGAGCCAATGTAGTGAGTGGAGTAGTGGAGTGACGTGATCGCGTTTTTTTGCCTTAAGAACAAGCCTAGCAGCAGAGTTTTGAACTTTCTGCAGTTTTTCTATAAAATGTTTCGGTGAACCTGACATGACACCATTTAAATAACATCATTACAAATATTACATGACATCATTTACACATTTTACATGACATCATTTACACATTTTACATGACATCATTTACACATAATACGTGACATAATGTAGACATTTTTTTTGTCACATTAAATGTTTTCATGATGGGATATCACAAGAAAATTATACCTGAGCGTTAACATTTACCACGGCCTTTACTTTTACCTGAGACTTCACATTAACCTGAGACTTCACATTAACCTGAGACTTCACATTAACCTGAGACTTCACATTAACCTGAGACTTCACATTAACCTGAGACTTCACATTAACCTGAGACTTCACATTAACCTGAGACTTCACATTAACCTGGGACTGAACATTAACATGAGACTGAACATTAACCTGAGATTTCACATTAACCTGAGACTTCACTTTAACCAAAGACTTTACATTAACCTGAGACTTCACTTGCTTCAATACTTGATCATTTACATTTCAAAAAACTTTATTTTCCTGATTTGTCTAGGTGCATGTTCCGGGGGCACGTTCCAGGTGTATATTCCAGGGGTATGCTCCTGGGGTATGGTCCAGGGTATATTCCAGGGGTATGCTCCAGGGTTCATTTTGCGCAGGGCCCCCGTTGATGTCAAGACGGTCCTTGCCAACACCAAGTTTAATCCACTTGTTTCTCACACAGAACAAGAGTTACCAAACATGTAAAATGTGACTGTCATTTAAAGTAAGAGTTACCTTTGAACCGATGATGGTATGGGTAAACAGGGTCCCAAGAGTTGCAGGTACAGAACGTTGTTTTTGATCAGTCTCCTGGAGATATATGACATGGAGATATATGGGCACGTGAAACATAGAGATATATGACGAGGTAAAACATGTAGATATATGAGGAGGTGAAACGTAGAGATATATAACATGAGGTACAACATGAAGATATATGAGGAGATGAAACATGGAGATATATAAGGAGGTAAAACAGGGAGATATATTGGGAGGTCAAACATGGAGATATACGAGGAGTCGAAACATGGAGATATATGAGGAGGTAAAACATGGAGATAAATGTGGAGGTAAAACATGGAGATATGTAAGGAGGTCAGACATGGAGATATATTATAAGGTTAAACATGGAGATATATAAGGAGATGAACCATGGAGATCTGGTGGTGAAAAATGGAGATATATGAGGAGGTGAAACATGGAGATGTATATTAGGAGGTGAAACATGGAGATATATGTGGAGATATATGTTTTTCCTTCTAATATATCTCCATGTTTTACCTCTTCATATATCTCCATGTTTGACCTCCCCATATATCTCCATTTTCACCTCCTCATGAATCTCCATGTTTCAACTCCTCATATATTTCTATGTTTCACCTCCTCATATATCTCCATGTTTCAACTCCTCATATATCTTAAATTTTTACACCAGACAGCTACACTTTTTACGGATATGTGAGCAAATCTCGACATGACGTGACTAGTTCAATGTTACAAGGATCCCAACTATTCTTCTAGATTTCATTTTTGCATTTGATACATTTTTGGCAACCCTGAGACTAACTTGAATTCCTGAAGATCGATAGATCCACTTTCATCGATATCTGTGACCTTTAGAACAATCTCGATCAGCTCTCTGGTGGCCTCCTCTGCTTCCATGTCTTCCGATTCTGTCAATATCACGCACGGCTTTCACAAAGAAAGAAAATGAAGCAATATTACAACATTAGTACACTTATTTTTAATCCTTGATGTTCAAAAGGCAAATTATTTCGTTGGGGAGAGGTGTACCTCTGAAATGTGAGGACATTCTGAAGTCAAAGTTCTTTCTAAGTGCATCAAAACTACTTTTTGTAATTCAATTAATACTATTAAAAATTCGTTTTGTTAATTTGTTTAGTGTTTTGACAGCATAATTTATTTATAACCCCTTTTCCCTATTGGAGTGTCCTCAACCCTAACACACCTTGTCATTTCATTGGGGTGTCCTCAACTCTAACACACCTTGTCATTTCATTGGAGTGTCCTCTACCCTAACACACCTTGTCATTCCATTGGAGTGTCCTCAAACCTAACAAACCTTGTCATTTCATTGGAGTGTCCTCAAACCTAACACACCTTTTCATTTCATTGGAGTGTCCTCAAACCTAACACACCTTGTCATTTCATTGGAGTGTCATCAAACCTAACACACCTTGTCATTCCATTGGAGTGTCCTCAAACCTAACACACCTTGTCATTCCATTGGAGTGTCCTCTACCCTAACACACCTTGTCATTTCATTGGAGTTTCCTCTACCCTAACACACCTTGTCAATCCATTGGAGTGTCCTCAAACCTAACACACCTTGTCATTTCATTGGAGTGTCATCAAACCTAACACACCTTGTCATTCCATTGGAGTGTCCTCAAACCTAACACACCTTGTCATTCCATTGGAGTGTCCTCTACCCTAACACACCTTGTCATTTCATTGGAGTTTCCTCTACCCTAACACACCTTGTCAATCCATTGGAGTGTCCTCAAACCTAACACACCTTGTCATTTCATTGGAGTGTCATCAAACCTAACACACCTTGCCATTCCATTGGAGTGTCCTCAACCCAAACACACCTTGTCATTTCTTTAGAGTGTCCTCAAATCTAACACACCTTGTCATATCATTGGTGTGTCCTCAACCCTAACAAAATGTCTAATCTACCAAATACCAGTAACTGTAAAAGTAAAAAAAAAAAATAAAAAAAAATAAAAAAAAATACAGCTGTCAAATCTAGCCAATACCAGTACAAGAAATATTGCTTACTCTCAAGAAGTAATACAACTCCTGAAAGTTAATTTCGCCATCTTGGTTGAGATCATATACTTTGAAGACAAAATTTGTTTTCTGATCCAAGTTCTCAGTAAGAAAGATGCAAATCAGCTTACAGTATTCTTCTATAGACACGTAGCCAAGTTTCTGATTCTTTACAGCTGAGTGGGGGAAGGGATAAAGAGGGGAGCAGGACATATAACGAGTCATTATACAGCAAACAATTCCTTTGTGGAGCCATATCTTAGATTTAAGTCATTACATCAATAAATTCCAACTCATGTCTAGTTATGACACACACACACATACACACCCTCGCTCAAAATCAATTATATTTTGAAAATCCTTTATCATTTAACACTAATATCTACACATTTTCAACATCATGTTGATTTAGCCCAATATCTACACATTTTCAACATCATGTTGATTTAGCCCAATATCTACACATTTTCAACATCATGTTGATTTAGCCCAATATCTACACATTTTCAACATCATGTTGATTTAGGCCAATATCTACACATTTTCAACATCATGTTGATTTAGCCCAATATCTACACATTTTCAACATCATGTTGATTTAGCCCAAAATCTACACATTTTCAACATCATGTTGATTTAGCCCAATATCTACACATTTTCAACATCATGTTAATTTAGCCCAATATCTACACATTTTCAACATCATGTTGATTTAGCCCAAAATCTACACATTTTCAACATCATGTTGATTTAGCCCAAAATCTACACATTTTCAACATCATGTTGATTTAGCCCAAAATCTACACATTTTCAACATGTTGATTTAGCCTAAAAACTAACAAAACCCAATTTTACCTTAAATTTTTAAAAAGAAGTCATAAATGAAAAACAAATGTCTGTCCAATATTCAGTCACTGAGGCAAGACATTTGCTGCCACCACTTTACCCCCAAAACAATGATCACTGTTCACTCACCTCCAAACATCAAAGACACCATGACTGCCCCCCTCACAATGACCACTGTCCACTCACGTCCAAGCATCAAAGAAACCATGACTGCCCCCCTCACAATGACCACTGTCCACTCACCTCCAACCATCAAAGAAACCATTATTTCCCCCCCCCCCCTCACAATGACCACTGTGCACTCACCTCCAAACATCAAAGAAACCATGACGGGAGAAGTGAAGTTAAAAACTTTCAACATTTGCGATGTAAACACTAATTCATCGATTTCATTGGGAGCTTCTGGTCTGGGCAGACATTTAGCATAGATCAAGATGTTCATGACAAGAGATTCATCAAATCCTAAAATAACATCAATAGTTGGGTAGACATTGATATAAATCAAGATGTTCATGACAAGAGATTCATCAAATCCTAAAATAACATCAGTAGTTGGGCAGTCATTGATATAAATAAAGATGTACATGACAAGAGATTCATCAAATCCTAAAATAACATCAATAGTTGGAACGCTCCATGACAAAATAAACATTGTATCAATGCAGATGTCCACAAGACAACAAAATTTGATAAACTGTCATGCCAAGAAGACAACAAACATTTGATAAACTGTCATGTCAAGAAGACAACAAACATTTGATAAACTGTAATGTCAAGAAGACAACAAACATTTTATAAACTCTCATGTCAAGAAGACAACAAACATTTGATAAACTCTCATGTCAAGAAGACAACAAACATTTGATAAACTCTCATGTCAAGAAGACAACAAACATTTGATAAACTGTCCTGTCAAGAAGACAACAAAAATTTGATAAACTGTCATGTCAAGAAGACAACAAACATTTGATAAACTCTCATGTCAAGAAGACAGCAAACATTTGATAAACTCTCATGTCAAGAAGACAACAAACATTTGATAAACTGTCATGTCAAGAAGACAACAAACATTTGATAAACTGTCATGTCAAGAAGACAACAAACATTTGATAAACTGTCATGTCAAGAAGACAACAAACATTTGATAAACTGTAATGTCAAGAAGACAACAAACATTTGATAAACTGTCCTGTCAAGAAGACAACAAAAATTTGATAAACTGTCATGTCAAGAAGACAACAAACATTTGATAAACTCTCATGTCAAGAAGACAGCAAACATTATGTCAAGAAGACAACAAACATTTGATAAACTGTCATGTCAAGAAGACAACAAACATTTGATAAACTGTAATGTCAAGAAGACAACAAACATTTGATAAACTGTCATGTCAAGAAGACAACAAACATTTGATAAACTGTAATGTCAAGAAGACAACAAACATTTGATAAACTGTCATGTCAAGAAGACAACAAACATTTGATAAACTGTCATGTCAAGAAGACAACAAACATTTGATAAACTGTCATGTCAAGAAGACAACAAACATTTGATAAACTGTCATGTCAAGAAGACAAGAACCTTTGTTTGCTCTTCAAACAGACACCAAAGAAATACTGAGCATATCTAAAGGGTGGTAGGAAAGTTTCTAATGTACGAGACACGTTTGCTCATGCCTAATAAACTAATAAGTACGATCATGCCTAATAGACTACACAGGTGTGATCATGCCTAAGAGACTACACAAGTATGATCATGCCTAATAGACTACACAGGTGTGATCATGCCTAAGAGACTACCCAATTATAATCGTACTCAGAGACTACACAAGTATGATCATGCCTAAGAGACTACACAAGTATGATCATGCCTAATAGACTACACAGGTGTGATCATGCCTAAGAGACTACCCAATTATAATCGTACTCAGAGACTACACAAGTATGATCATGCCTAAGAGACTACACAAGTATGATCATGCCTATTAGACAACACAGGTGTGATCATGCCTAAGAGACTACACAAGTATGATCATGCCTAATAGACTACACAGGTGTGATCATGCCTAAGAGACTACCCAATTATAATCGTACTCAGAGACTACACAAGTATGATCATGCCTAAGAGACTACACAAGTATGATCATGCCTAATAGACTACACAAGTGTGATCATGCCTAAGAGACTACCCAAATATAATCGTACTCAGAGACTACATAAGTATGATCATGCCTAAGAGACTACACAAGTATGATCATGCCTAAGAGACTACACAAGTATGATCATGTCTTAAATACTATCCTAGTATGATCGTGTCTCAAAGTCTACACAATTATGTCAAGTAATGTCTATATTTATATTCCTATAGTGAAATTATCATCCTAGATTGAACATCTCATCCTAGATTGAATATCTCATCCTGCATTAAATATATCATCTGATATTGAAAATATAATCCTAGAGTGCATATCTCATCCTGTTGTGAATATATCATATTATTGCGAGTATCTGATCCTAGAGTGAATATCTGAACCTATTTGTTAATATCTTATCCTAAACTGAATATATAATCCTAGAGTGGATATCTGATTATATTTGGAATATAGCATCCTAGAGTACATATCGCATTGTAGACTTTATCTGTGGCTTAGCCACGATGTCTAGACGATGTGTTAAATTCTTTTGACGTCATAAAAATACCAAAGTTTGAATTGACTTAGAAACAATCCACTTTGTCCCCATGTGTTGGGTTAGGGTTAGGGTAGTCCCAATGTGTTGGGCTAGGGATAGGGTTAGGGTGGTCCCAATGTGTTGGGCTAGGGAAAGGGTTTGGGTAGTCAAAATGTGTTGGGTTAGGGTAGTCCCGATGTGGTGGGTTAGGGATAGGGTTAGGGTAGTCCCAATGTGTTGGGTTAGGGATAGGGTTAGGGTAGTCCCAATGTGTTGGGTTAGAGTTATGGTAGTCCCCCTGTGTTGGGTTAGGGATAGTGTTAGGGTAGTCCCAATGTGTTGGGTTAGTTTTAGGGTAGTCCCAATGTGTTGAGCTAGGGATAGGGTTAGGGTGGTCACAAGGTGTTGGGCTAGGGAAAGGGTTTGGGTAGTCCCAATGTGTTGGGTTAGGGTAGTCCCGATGTGGTGGGTTAGGGATAGGGTTAGGGTAGTCCCAATGTGTTGGGTTAGGGATAGGGTTAGGGTAGTCCCAATGTGTTGGGTTAGGGTTATGGTAGTCTCCATGTGTTTGGTTAGGGATAGTGTTAGGGTAGTCCCAATGTGTTGGGTTAGTTTTAGGGTTAGGGTAGTCCCAATGTGTTGGGTTAGGGATAGTGTTAGGGTAGTCCCAATGTGTTGGTTTAGGGATAGTGTTAGGGTAGTCCCAATGTGTTGGGTTAGGGATAGTGTTAGGGTAGTCCCATTGTGTTGGGTTAGGGATAGTGTTAGGGTAGTCCCACTGTGTTGGGTTAGGGATAGGGTTATGGTAGTCCCAATGTGTTGGGTTAGGGATAGGTTTAGGGTAGTCCCAATGTGTTGGGTTAGGGATAGTGTTAGGGTAGTCCCAATGTGTTGGGTTACGTTTAGGGTAGTCCCAATGTGTTGGGTTAGGTTTAGGGTAGTCCCAATGTGTTGGGTTAGGTTTAGGGTAGTCCAAAATTGTTGGGTTAGGTTTTGGGTAGTCCCAATGTGTTGGGTTAGGTTTAGGGTAGTCCCAATGTGTTGTGTTAGGTTTAGGGTAGTCCCAATGTGTTGGGTTAGGTTTAGTGTAGTCCCAATGTGTTGGGTTAGGTTTAGGGTAGTCCCAATGTGTTGGGTTAGGTTTAGGGTAGTCCCAATGTGTTGGGTTAGGTTTAGGGTAGTCCCAATGTGTTGGGTTAGGTTTAGGGTAGTCTCAATGTGTTGGGATAGGTTTAGGGTAGTCCCAATGTGTTGGGTTAGGTTTAGGGTAGTCCCAATGTGTTGAGTTTTGTTTTAGTTTTCACTTGAGAATTCCATAATCAACTTAATCACCTAAAGAGACTGCTCTTATCCGAGAATTCCATAAGTAACTGTGTTAGGCGAAAAGACTGCTCTTAACTGAAAATTACATAAGCAGCTTCCTTAGCCGTAGAGACTGCTCTTTTTCCATCAGCTGCTTTTTAAACCGTAGTAACTGCTTTTACCTGAGATTTCCTTAGCAGCTTCGTGAACTGTAAGGACTTTTCTCACCTGAGAATTCCATAAGCAGTGTTGTAAGCCCTATAGATTGCTCTTACCAGACAATTCCAAGCACAGCTTCGTAAGCCATTGAGACTGGTCTTACTAGACAATTCCAAGCACAGCTTCGTAAGCCATTGAGACTGGTCTTACCTGAGAAATCCATAATCAGCTTCGTGAGCGGTTGAGACTGGTCTTACCTGAGAAATCCATACGCAGCTTCGTGAGCCGTTGAGACTGGTCTTACCTGAGAAATCCATAAGCAGCTTCGTGAGCCGTTGAGACTGCTCTTGTAAACGTCCGAAGGATGTTGCCATTTTCTTACGCTGCGTCTCTTGGATACTGTGGGAAAAAAAACTCAATCTTGTGTTTCGAACATAATTTCACACAAACCATAAAATCCTGCTCAATTTTTGACAATTTTGTCAGTTTCTTGTGAGCAGCTTCTAACAATAGTTTACGCAAAAAATTAAATTGCACATTTGACAAAACTTCTACTTTTTAATAACAATTTTATAACCTTTTAATAACACTTTAACCACCTTTTAATAACATTTTAAAGACATTTGAAAGATATTTTGAAGTTGACGTACGTAGACTAGATTTACAAATTGACAACTATAACAAAGTGTCCCCTTTAATGAGACCTATAAATGATTTTTTTTTTTTTTTAAATTTTGATTTAATTTAAAGTGGATTTAAAAGACTTAAGTAGGGATTTATCTTGTGATCAATAAATTAAGGGCCTTATATGATCAAAATGTAAAATTTCCCACAACTTACCCGATTATCGGCTACCAGCGAAGTAACTTGTCAGTGACTTAGATATTGAAAGTGCATTTTCGTGTAGCATGGCGCAAAAACACGATATAAATACATAAATTGCGCACTGACTATGATGCATTTATTCCAATAATCTGATCGATGAAAACTTCTGAGTGGTACAGAGAAGCAGGACAACATAGGAAACAATAAATGACAACATAGGAAACAATAAATGACAACATAGGAAACAATAAATGACAACATAGGAAACAATAAATGACAACATAGGAAACAATAAATGACAACATAGGAAACAATAAATGACAACATAGGAAACAATAAATGACAACTTAGGAAACAATAAATGATAACATAGGAAACAATAAATGACAACATAGGAAACAATAAATGACAACATAGGAAACAATAAATGACAACATAGGAAACAATAAATGACAACATAGGAAACAAATGACAACTTTGAAACAATACGAAGGGTATAATTTCATATCAATTCTATTAATTATTGAGAATATTGAAATTGTCTTCTTTTGGTTATGAACGTAAAAACATATCAATTTCATAAAGTTTGTTTACTATTTGTTGACTTGCATGCAATGGGGCAATACCTTTCGGTTACAGTTATATTATAATCTCTTTATAAATTTACTAGCCAGATTTCGTCAAAACTGACAATAATTACTCAAATCGGTAAATATGTTTTTGTCATAACCTGCCCAAGACAATCAGGGACTGGAACAAGCTTTCAAAAGGAACGGTTGAGGCGACAACACTAGACACATTTGTGTCTATTGTCTCAAGCCTTCAAACAACTAGTGCATGATTCCCTCACAAAGTGGCACCCGAAATCAGTGAAGTGTCCTCATCAACACCAGGCACAGAAACATTGCAAATCCCCTCTAGATGCATAGGAGCCAAAATGATCAATAAATTGATCTTGGGCCCTTAAGATATAGAAGACGAAGAATCCTTGAAGCAATTAGATAATTTATAATTTTAAAAAAACTAATATTCTTTGTAATAACAATTTGTTTTTGAATGTCCAATACAGTTGTGAAAGGTAAGGGGGCGTTCGTTGATAATGGGAACAAAATAGGGGGGTGGGCAAGAGGGTTTGAAAATTGTTGACAGTTGTTGACAAGGGGGAGGGGGGCTAGATTAGTTGAAGTCTACAATCATGTTTTCTCTATTCAAATTTTGATGTTAAAACTAGTTGTTACAATATTAAAGAATTAAAAGAATCAATGAGTTTAAATAGTCATTTAATTATTAGGCTTAATTATTAGGCTTAATTATTAGGCTTTTAACAATAGAAGATTTATTGAATGGGTGTTTATCTTTGCACTGCGGATGGCTGGTTAGAATGTTAGCACACTTTGTTAGTGCAAGAGAAGTCAAAAGGTGGCCTCTCTTCACCAGTAGATTCTGTTTGTCGCAAATGACTAGGGCGCTATGTTTGCGATCATGTTGCAGGTACGGAACAAGGACAAAGTTCATGAGTCATGTCCAGTCATGATAAATGAGATTGATAGAGTAGGAATACGATACTTTAAAAATTAGGGGAAATTAAAGTGAGTAACAATAATAACATCGCTCCTTGAACGGATTGGCAAAATCTGTAACATCTATTTTGCATCACAAGCAATGTTGAAAAAAAAATATTTTCAACAGCACCGACACTGCCCTCTTGAGCGTACGTAATTAGCACCTGCCCCTCAACAAAAAAGGATTCGACCAATGCAACCACCCCAAGAAGATAGAGTGAGCTTATGGCAATTATTTCTCACCTCAACAATGAGAATCCTTGTGGCAATTATTGCTCACACCAACAATGCTTCTATTTGAAGTGCTGAATTGTTAAATGAAGATGATGTTGACTTGACAGCTTGGTAGAGATGTAGATGTTGCAGTAGGGTAGTGATGTAAGATGTTACAGTTTTGTAGTGATGTAAGATGTTACAGTTTGGTAGAGATGTAGATGTTACAGTTTGGTAGTGATGTAAGATGTTACAGTTTGGTTGTGATGTAAGATGTTACAGTTTGGCGTAATATTATTAAATTAATTTAATAAAAAAATTGTAAGGTGTCTTCGTGTGATTTAACATTTTGTTCAACTCAGTTTCCTTTTACGTCACTATCAGACGACTCCAATAACTCCGCCCTGCATACTGTGACGTCACACTGCCACGTCTGTTATACAAACTAAACTTACACATTGATATCCCACACCCTTAACCCCGTCAAACTACTTATTGGTTGATACCCCCCCCATACAAACTACTAACAGGTTGACATAGCGACATCCCAACCACACGCACCCCCACCTACGGGCAAACTACAAAAGGTTTATATCTCACCCCGGCCTCCCCCCCCCCTCAAGGGCAAACTACTTAAATTTCGACAGACCACACATTTTTACATTATTCAGGTGCGACAGAGCATAAACTCTTAAATTATCCATTACTCGATAGCTGACATAACATACAATTTTTAACTCAGACAATAAAGATTCAACAAGTCACAATATAATTCAGTTTGTTTTATTCAGTTCAGCAAAGAATGTAGTCTTAAAAAATGGAGGCAGTCGTCATGGTAACACACAAGTGGTGACAATGACTGCTGACACGCATCATCCAATGCAAGGTTCTCTCTTGATGTTGTCTCAGGGCACCGTTACCTCTCTGAGAGGGGGGGCATTACCCGTTTCGAGCACCATTACCTCTCATGGTATCAAGCCCTCTCTCATCTCGTTATACTCAGCTTGTGCCTCAGTTAGTTCCTAGAGGGATGTGCGTAAAATAATTTGTGAAACTTATCTCAAATAAATCTACTGTTATCCTACTGCACAGGTTCCCAAATCTTTAAAAAATCGATACCCCATCTCATAGAAGGGAAGTAAACCATGAACCTATACATAAAACAGCAAAGTAACTTGTGACCCCAATACATTAAAAAAAAAAAACACGATATATTAAAGGAACTGATTCAGACGGAAACTCTCCCTTGGTTGCTTAGTTTTTGTTAGAGATTAGGCTAAACACAACAATAAATTAAACAATGGCTTAAAAACATTCATTTTAATATAACCTCACCTCCCCCCCCCCACCCGCAGAGCATCAAAGATGAAAGACAATGTAGTGTTCAAATGTGAATACAGACTTTATGGGAACAATCTTTTCAACAAAGACTATGTTAGTCGCATTGATAAAAATGTTTTATCTCTGATATTTAAACATTCGTCTTGTTTTAACACAACATTTGAATCCTGTGATGACGCAATCACGTGTGTTCAAATGTTCAGCTTGCTCCATGCAATAAATTATAGAAAATTTTGCTTCGTGCAATAGATGATAGAACATTTTGCTTCGTGCAATAGATGATAGAACATTTTGTTCAGAAATGTATAGTTCTGATTCAGGTAAAGACTTGTTGAGATACTTGACTTGCAAATAATAAACTATTTCATACAATATCTGAGTTTGTATAACATAGAAGATTCATGTTTTATCCAATATCTGAGTTTTGTCGAACATAGATGTTTTAGGTTTCTTCCAATTAGCAACTAGGGGATAACTATAACTTAATGTAGCAACTAGGAGCTAACTATAACTTAATTTAGCAACTAGAAGCTAACTGTAACTTAATGTAGCAACTAGGAGCTAAGGTAACTATAACTTAATGTACAACTAGGGGCTAACTATAACTTAATGTAGCAATTTGGAGGTAACTGTAAATTAATGTAGCGACTAGGAGGTAACTATAACTTAATGTAACAACTATTAGGTAACTATAACTTAACCTAGCATCTAGGAGCTAACTATAACTTAATAAAGTGACTAGGAGCTAATTATAACTTAATGTAGCAACTAGGAGCTAACTGTAACTTAATGTAGCAACTAGGAGCTAACTATAACTTAATGTCGCAACTAGGAGCTAACTATAACTTAATGTAGCATCTAGGAGCTAACTATAAAAAATGTAGCAACAAGGAGGTAACTATAACTTAATGTAGCGTCGAGGAGTTAACTATAAAAAATGTAGCAACAATTAGCTAACTATAACTTTATGTGGCAACCCTAACCCTAACCTGGTGAAATAATAAGTCCATCCTATCATTTAGGAAATCCCTGCTCAACGTTCCAGGAAAGTCCTTCGAATGAATTTCACGTGGCTAATGCAACGTTATGGAAACCCTTTCTCCTGCTTCATTTATCTCATGTGCAACGTTACATAACAATGTATGCAAGCTATACCGATCCATGGATTATCTTGGATCACTTTATTGATTATCTTAGACCGCTCAATGGATTATCTTAGTTAGACCACTCTGTGGAATATCTTAAAAGATATTTTTTCTTCAGACTTGTTAAGATCCATTAGAATCGTCTTTACCTCATATTTTATCTTAAATTATAATCTTGACAGATCTGGACAGCGTAAATATAAATGAATTAGGGTATGATATAATCTTGTCAGAACTTGACAGTGGGAATGAGACTGTATTAGGATGTGATATAATCTTGACAGCATGTGACAGCGTGAATGTTAATGAATTAGGGTATGATATAATATTGAAAGAACTGGACAGTGGCAAAGTGAATGTAGTTAAGGGGTAATATAATCATGACGTAGTTCAGACACAATATTTTCTTCCAAGACATTATAATTAATCATGCAAATTAGTTCTTTATTTTTTCATTTTTATGATTCTGATATCATTAGCTAATCGATGCTTGGACACTAATTATTTCATAGCAATGCAGCCATCTCATGGGCTGGACACTGGTTATTTAATAACAATGCGGTCATCTCATGATCTGGACATTAGTATTTAATAATAATGCGGCCATCTCATGGTCTGGACACTGGTTATTTAATGCCAATGCGGCCATCTCATTATCTGGACACTGGTTATTTAATGCCAATGCGGCCATCTCATTATCTGGACACTGGTTATTTAATGCCAATGCGGCCATCTCATTATCTGGACACTGGTTATTTAATACCAATTCGGCCATCTCCTTG